GTTTATAGCTAAGAGGTCAGCTGGGTATTGAGAATTCTGGTAAGGTTTTATGCAGAGGCAGGCTGCGAGGAATGGGGCAAGAGATACATGAGTTTGAATGTGGAGATAAGGAGAGTTAGAGGTAGGACAAGAACGATATGGAGAGGGGTTGTATAAAAATGACATCAGAGATAAGAACTTGATAAATGGATGCAAGAGACTGCACTGAAGAAAGCTAACATCAGGTAACCACAGCTATCCCACAAAAGCATGGAAAATTTTTGTAAAACAGGGATGATGATGTTGATTTAAACACATGTTCACAAAGGTTCTAAAACAGTACCATTCCAACTTTAGACCCCTTATATGACCCCTCAAGAAGGATTCAGAAATATAAAACTTAGATTTTGATTGAAAGAATTTATGAAATATATTAATTAATGAGGTATCTGGTTCTTTAGTCATTACATGACTGACCTTACCTAATCCTGTGTTGCTATGCCCTCACTTATGGTTGTAATGTACAGTACTGATTTATCTGTTTTTGTAAGTTCTCTGTAGCCTCACTCTTCCCTGTACATGCAACTGAAGAGGACGATGCCAGTGAATAACAAATCTTTATTAAATCAGAAAATCTACTATGTGGGTTTTATTAGTCTTCATATTCACATTCCTGTGAATATTTACAACATTGTAAGTGGTGTGATTTAATATGTTATTAAACAAGAAAAACTATAGTACTGTACAGTGATATTGTGGATTGATTTGTCAAAATGAATAAAACTAGCTATTGGAATAAGTACACAGCCAGTAGTTTAAAAAAAATTAAAAGTACTGTAATATTTTTCATGACCACAAATATTCATGTTGAATGAATAAAACTATATTTTCATATTGTGGAGTTTCTATCGCCTTTTATGTACTTACTGTGGAGGCAGCCTCAGAACACATACAGTAAAGTATTACCTGAATTCAGTAGACCCTTGATATAGATAACACAAGAGTGGGACTGAATTGTTGTGCAATACTGAATCATTATATTATTGTACTTTACATATTTCAATTGGTAATAAAGGATACAGGACTGCAGCCCCCCAAATCCTTTAAAACACCACCTTTTCTCACTCCAACACTAATTCCATCATTTCAAAACACTTATTAACAAATTATCATTTTTCCTTGTGGCAGAACAGCTGCTTGTACTGCAGTTGTTCAGCCTGAAGGTGCTGCCATCTACTGTGGGCAGGGAAATTTAAGGTTTTCATCAGCTTATTGATTGTTTTTATTTGATATTAAACCTTAAAAAAATACTGTATATCTAAAGAAACATTTAAAACATGTGACCCTTCAACTGTCACTAGTTGAATAGCCTGGTAGTCTACACAGCTAGGACGGCTGCATAGACAGCCAGGTTATTCAACCTTGAACCCATAAGCATATTAACAACTGTACTACAGGGTATATCTGTAACTAAACCCTTGTGGTCCTGAATTAGTGGAACCTGCCTATATACTGTACATGTTATGATACAAATCATTATAATTTTTTTATACTGTAGTTGCGTGTGTAGGTAGGTGATTAACCAGATTTTCCATTTTTGCCTACCGTGAATAAAAGTGTTCAATATGTAAAAATAACTTCCATAGAAACAGCTGTGGTTATAGTAGAGTTGCCAATTCATTAATATAATTTTCTTCATTATTTAAACAAATATACGAACATTTGGAAACTTTGCATGACCTTAAATAACAATGAATAGTTTATTATTATAAAAATGTTACCTTTGGTTTGTTTAATATTTATCCTGACAGTGATACAGCCAAAAACAGATCCACCAATCACCTTTACATACAGCCTTCCTTTACCAAGTATTGCCAGGTAAAATTGTGAGCACGAGACCCAGGGTGTGGTTGGTGCATCTTTGGCTGACTGTACAAGAAAACATATCTACTGTACCTTCACAAATATACACATGTAACTACGGTATCGTAACATGTCTAAAGGCAGGCTCCACTAGCTCAGGGCCACAAAGGTTTAATTACAGATATATAGTTGTTAACACACTCGGGATCACTCACTCCTATGTGGCGTTTTGATTTAATGTAAATGAAACTTTTGCCTCGTGATCAGACACGCAACTGTGGTGTATAATTCATTTTCTCTAAAAGTCCTGGTCGAATTACCGTACAGTACTTCAAATTTTAACGCCACTCTTGTGCATGGAATCAAGCTTTAAGGCTAGGTGGCAACATTTCGATCTGCAGTGGACAGCGCAGCCTCCAGACAAACATGCCAGTTATGTATCTGACTCAGTAAGCAAGAGGTGTGTGTGTCCCAGGCGTGATTTAAAAATGGCTACCATGGCATTTGCATCACTGTCTCCAAATATTTATTACTTACAACCTCGATATTTATTCTTATGATGTGATAAAGTGATGTTTATTGAAATATTTACAATGAAATAGTGAAATATTTTTTAATTTATGAGATGTTGGTGAAATGGCTACTCACAATATCGTCGCAACTACCACACAAAAGCATGTCATAATATATAGGCCTAGCTTGGAAAAATAATAAGTGATAGTGAAATGTAGTGCAGTAGAGGCATATGTATGAGAATGGTAAATTATAATGAATATATAGCTGCTCCTCGACTTATGACGGGGTTAGGGACCCAAATCCAGGTCGTAAGTCGAAAATGCTTAAATAATACATATAAAATCTAAAATGAGTGTCTCTTTTTCTTCTCAGCACCACAAAACTTTCACTTTTAAGCTTGCCAACCATTTAAAAGTGAATTACAAATGTGGGGACTCAAAAATACGTAATTTGACAAAATTTTGGTACGACTGAGGCGGTCGTATGTTCGGGTGGTCGTAGGTCGAGTATGTCGTAAGTCGTCGAGGAGTAGCTGTATTGTGATTATTTGATACGCATTCCTAAGGGCATCGCCAATGTCATGCATATGTCAAGGCCTACCTCATCTCAGTGGAAAGTGGAAATATTATTGCCAAAATTTAAGTTTTTGTCACAGAAACTTCTAACTGGTCTATTTCTCTTCCTTAGTATGTGTACAGTAATAATCCGTCATGAAAAACCGCTTACAAAAGATTAAAAAAAATAAAAATAAATAAATAAAAGGTGTATAAACATTTCGGCGACTGCACGCCTAACCACCACTTATTTTTACTCTTTATTCAGTAACTCCGCTACTTTTAACATTATCTTTTTTTATTATTACACCATCATCTTCCTCATGATTTACTCATTCTTGCCATGTACATTTTATACTGACTGATGCAATGATGTGGGTACAGCACAAAGAGGAATCAACAGTAAATTTTAAATTTCACTTGTACTGTACTCGCCAAAATGGCTTTTGTTTATTACTTTATTTTTGAGGGTTTCATATGACTTCCCAGCCTTTTGTATGTAGGAGGCATCATTTGAATGCAGTAAATATTTGACAATATCTTAGCCACGAATAGCACTCGGTAAAAAAATATCTTCTCTACGATTTCTGGTCATTCTGTGGACTCCAAACAGACCCAGTGACAGGCTCATTAAATAAATTTCAGGCGATCCCGAGTGTCAATATGTTTATGGGTTCACGGTTGAATAGCTTGGCTGTCTATGTAGCCATCCTGACAAAGTAGACCAGTGGTTCCAACCTTTTTTGGCTGCGACCATAAATTTTCCAACAATACAGTGTCGTGACCCTCAGGAATATAATATATTATATAGCTTGAATGTTAAGCAAAAAATTTTTATGACTTTATGATAAGTACTATATTTTTAAAATTGTCTGAGGGCCACTCGCGACCCTACTGAGGACACCCCGCAACCCTGATTTGGATCGCGACCTGAGGTTGGGAACCACTGGTGTAGACTACCAGGCTATCCAACTGATGATGGCTAAACAGCCACTATGTATTAAAAATAATTAATGCTTCTCTAAGATCCAAAACATTAAGAACATATTTAATGGGTTTCTTATAGTAAAGGTCACAGCCTCAAGTTAAACAAGCCAGCCATAAGTATAGAAAATTGTCGAAGCTAACTTCTTTGGAGTAAGAGTTGTGAATTATAGAGGTATTTGACATAAATGTCATAAAAATAACCTCTTACAATGTAACCCCGATTAATAACACTAAACTTGTGGAAATTATGGTGCAGCAGCAGCATGACAGATACATTCCAGAACATTCTCACCCTAATTTTATCTGAGTTCATTTTGCCTCCTGAATGATTCCTGCCAGCTCTACAATAAGAATATTGTGATAATATCTATGTTTCATACCTTACTAGACTTTATTAGTTATAGATGAGAAGTGAAATTGTTGCTTGGAGGTACGAGGAGGTAGGGTGACACTCAATATCAAACGCACAGTATCAAGGATCTACTGAATCACATACCCATCAAAACGAAGCAACCTCTGCCCTAATTCTAAGTTGTTCATTCCTACAAGCTCTTTCCCAAAACAGTGCTGGATGACCAGAATCAAGAGCAGCACTGATTCCCCCTCATTTATACTCTCTAGTTGCCTTATACTGTATGTATTTTTCTATGGTGTTCGTTAACTATTCAATGATTTTCAAGTGTTCCCTCAGTGTGGCACTTTTCACACAAGAAGGGTTTCCTTTCCTCTGTCAACTGCCAGAGGCATGTCAGCATTAAATGGGTTAAAAAAGGCCCCAAGATACACACCAAATTTAAACAAACTACAACAAATGATAATACTGTATATTTAAAATCCTGGCAACAATCATATTAATGTACTGGAAGATAGATACAGTATAGAGCAGTTGAGGTGATGGATCCCATAGAATAGTGAAATGAACATCCACTTTGTTTAATGTTCTTTCAAATATGCCCAGCTGTCTTCTGTGCATAAAGAATGCTTCAGTGATTAGTAATATAGAAACATGAGAAAAGATATTTACTTCAAGACAAACTAGGAAAAGTACTGTAAAAGCATATTGTTAGTGGAAGTATTTGCTACTGAAAACTGAAAGAAAGATACTGTATACATATTTATTTACATCAAAAATAGTACATACTTTCTCAACCTTGGTACCTTGAAGACTTTAGTTTATCCCCACTTGATTTGATGACAATATTATGCCAGAAAAGGCTCACATCATGATAAACACACCAACCTAACAACAACTTAAGTCTAGAGTACAATTTAAGAAAATATCCATAACTATCTTAGTCAACTAACTTTTATGGACCTGATTTCATTTTTCCCAAATTCTAACAACCATCACCTAAGATTGATGTCAAATTGACATTTTGAACATGTTAATTCAATGACAATATACATAAAAAAAAATTGAAACTTTCTATGAGCTTTGCATTACTGGAAAGAAAATTAACAGCACTATACTGTACCCCAAAACCACCACCTTACAGGCATGTGCTTGCTCGAACTTAATTACTTAGTATTTTCCACATATAACTTACCATTTTCCAAAGATACAAGAGTTGTGTTACTTGCCAAAGCCACCTTGACATGCAGGACTACGTTCAATTTCTTGAGGTTCTTTGGCCCACTGATCTGGTGTTCGAGCCTGGAAAAATAAGTTATTTTATTAAGAATTTCACCACTTTTTTTTATCAGAATCAATATTTAAATTCCATCAAATTAGTCACTTGCAAACTGACACGGCAAGTAAAACGTACATATTTAATTCTGACATACAGGATTAATAAGACAGATATCTGACTGGATAAAAACAGAATCCACAGACAACCTCTGAAAACTATACAAGTCAAGTAACCCCAACCAAATCAAACTTATTTAAGGACCCAACTATCTTATGCAACTTCAGCAACACCAGAAACATCAATGGAGTAACTATTTCCCCAGACTGACACCCAAGGTTTATGGGGTAATCAATTGTGTAAAAAGAACTTATATGTGTGCCCAATACTGTACAGCTTTAGTAAGTGTGTGCTCACTGTTCTATTTGACAGTTAAAGAACAAACCACAACCTACTAATGCTATTTCATGAACATTTTTAATCAGAGGAAAAGAACACTTACCACAATAGACAGTGCATGAACTCCATTCTGTAATTCTTCTGCAAGGGAGGAATTCACAAGTCGATGACGCTGTAAATGTAATACCCCGTATTAATATCAATCAAAAAAAAAATTATATATATATATATATACAGTCAACCCTCACTTTACGCGGTTAATGTAACCCACAGGGTAACGCGGAAAGTGAGAAACGCGTAAAGTGAATAACATAACATATGGGATTAAATGAAATAGAGACCAGCTGACCCCCAAACTCCACTTTTTCCAACACAATACCTATGTTCTAGTAAAAATAACATCTTAATTTTATGATGGTACATGCACACAATTAATACTTAAGAGAAATAGAGAAATACAAGCTAATGTCCATTCAAATAATGGACTCAACTCCCTCCCCCTCTTCTCACACTACACTGCTGGCTCTTCCCTCTGAGAAATTTTGGGGGGAAAACCAGGTATAGTAATAAATAATACCTCAAACTAAAGTTAGGATAATATAATTGACATTGCTGGATTCCTTGTAAGACCAGGAATATTTTGAATATAAATGTCATATATTTTTCACAAAAGATAACATATTTACTCAGATTAAACATTACATCTAAAATTTGTATGTCTAATGCAAAATCTATAATGTTTATATTCAAAATGATCATCAAATTGTAAGAATTCCAGCAATGTAAATTATATTCTGGCCGGGTAATTTGTATGAATTTTATGAGCTAAAACAAATATCTTCAGTTAATAAAAAAAAAAAATATTCTTCACGACACTATCTGTCAATCAAAGTACCCCACCTTGCCTCCCCCCCTCTTCCAACCAGCCAGATGGTCAGTCCGTCCCAACCCTCCCCCCCACCTCCCACCAACCCTCCCTTCAAGAGAAAGAGTGGGTGAAAAAACTAGATTTTAACATTTAGTATTAAATAATACCTCAGATTAAAGTTAGGATAATATAATTGACATTGCTGGATTCCTTGTAAGACCAGGAATATTTTGAATATAAACGTCATATATTTTGCACAAAAGATAACATACTTACTCAGAGTGAACATTATATCTAAAAATTTTATGTCTAATGCAAAATATATGATGTTTATATTCAAAATGATCATCAAATTGTAAGAATTCCAGCAATGTAAATTATATTCTGGCCGGGTAATTTGTATGAATTTTATGAGCTAAAATAAAAATCTTCAGTTAATAAAAAAAAAAAATATTCTTCACACAGTAACAGATGGTCGGTCGCCGGTCCCTCCCCCCCACCCCCCACCAACGTCCCTACTAGATAAATGTGTGGGAATACCAGACTGTTTACCTTTTTAGTAATAAATAATAAATCAGACTAAAGTTAGGATAATATAATTGACATTGCTGGATTCCTTGAAAGACCAGGAATATTTTGAATATAAATATCATATAATTTGCACAAAAGATAACATATTTACTCAAGAGTAAACATTATATCTAAAATTTGTATGTCTAATGCAAAATCTATGATGTTTATATTCAAAATGATCATCAAATTGTAAGAATTCCAGCAATGTAAATTATATTCTGGCCGGATAATTTGTATGAATTTTATGAGCTAAATAAAAAAATTATTCTTCACCGTGTAAAGGGGTACACCCACCACGGAATGTGAGCATCCTGGGTTCTGGCAGGGCACCTCGTAAACGTGGAATGTGGGACCGCGTAAAGTGAGGGTTGTATGTATATATATATATATATATATATATATATATATATATATATATATATATATATATATATATATATATATATATATATATACCTACCCCGACTTACGACGGGGTTAGGGACCCAAATCCAGGTCGTAAGTCCGATATGGTCGTAAGTCCGATATAGATAAAAATAAAAAAAATAAAAAAATAAAAAATTTTCAAAAAAAAAAAATTCAAAATTTTTTTTCAATTTTTTTTTAAAAATCTACAATGAAATACAGTACACTAAACGTAAAAAATAATGAGGAATGGATACAGTACAGTAAAAGTAATAAATAATGAGGAATGGATACAGTGTGACTGAGCACTTACCTTAAATGTAGTCAGCTGAATGCACACGGGGCCCCCATAATTTTCTATTTACAGGATACATGGAGACTATATTAATTGGAAGAAGCAGAAGAGGAGACAGGGCTGGGTGGGTCATCAATGTCGCTTCCTTCAGACAGGTTTATGTACAGGGGTAACTTGCTGGTTGAAGGTATTGGATCATCTTGAGGGAGTGAAGAGGCAGCACTGGTGGGGCGTGAGGAGCCAGTACTGGGGGACTTCTTGAAATAGGTGTCCAATTTAGACTGCACAGTTTGCTTTTTCTTTTCATTATAAATTTCTCTGTAGCAAGCAAGTGAATCTTGGATCATTCTGTCAACTTTGGCATAACGCTCATAATTTTGATCCATGTCATCAAACATTTGCATTGCTTTATTAATTGTAGCAAATGCCTCTGCCATATGTTTCACTGAAAACTTTTTGGGGGGTGCAGGCTCTTCTTCTACATTTTGTCTCTCTTCTTCCTCTGCAACTTTCTGTGCATCTAGTTCAATAAGATCCTCGTTACTGAGCTCTTCTGCTACACTTTCAACCAACTGTCCAACATCTTCAGTATCAATTTCTAACTCCAGCTGTTTACCTAAGTCCACTATCTTGTTACTAATATCCAAAATAACTTCACTTTCATTAAATCCTTTGAAACTGTTCACATATCTTTTCAGGATTTTCTTCCATATTCCATTCATGCAATGTTTTGTAACCTGATCCCATGCTGCACTAATGTTCTTTATACATGACAAAATGTTGTACTCCTTCCAAAACTGTCTGAGCGTTTTCTCACCTTCAGTAGCAGCAACAGCCTGAGCGAAGGTCGTGCGTAAATAATATGCTTTAAAGGCAGAAATAACACCTTGATCCATGGGTTGGATGATAGAGGTAGTGTTAGGTGGCATGTACACTACCTTAACATCAGGGTGCATGTCGTCCAGGTGTGGTGGGTGTCCCGGAGCATTATCCAAAATCAGTAAAATCTTGAATGGAATCCTTTGTTGCAGACAATACTCCTTGGCTCATGGAATGAAACAAGTCATGAACCAATCCTCAAATAGTACTAGGGTCATCCAGGCTTTCTTGTTACTGCGATAAAACACTGGCAGTGTGTGCTTGCTGACATGTTTAAAAGCCCTGGGGTTCTCTGAATGATAGATCATGAAGGGCTTTAGCTTGAAACCAGCAACATTTTCACAGAAGTATTTCCTGATCAAAGTTTGAATTCAAGAGCGCAGTTCAAACAGGAGCGCTTCATTAATAATTCAGTTCATTCATTATTGAATATTTGCTCTGGGCAACAATTCCTCTCGGCAATCACATCATCTAACTCTCCAAAGCTTCGCAGCACCAACATCGGCACTAGTTGCCTCCACTCACCTTAACACTGTAGACTGTAGCTGCTTTTTTAAATCTATCAAACCACCCCTGACTTCCCAAAGGTTTGATTCACATTCATCTCCTGCCTGCTCCTTCAGGCTTTGAACAGGCTTCTGTTTAGCCTGTATGGTTAGAACATTTAAGTGGGTACACGCCGCATCTGGTCTTCTATCCATATCATCGCACAATTTTTCCATATCGTGATAGGGACCTTGTCTTTTCTTTTGTTATTATAGTTCCCTTTTTATAGGTAAGGTTCTTCTTACTACTTCACACGCTCTCCTGTCCTTCAGAATAGTGGATATGGTCGAGTGTGAGAAACCCAGGTCGCGCGGAGATTGTTGTTATTGTTTTTCCATTCTCATACTGTGTTATTATCTCTTCAGTTTCATCTCAAAAGTAATTGCCTGTCTCCTTTTCTTGGAGTACCACCGCACTCTACTCTCTTACGCTTCTAGTCATTATAAAGTCAATTAAAATACAATAATAATAACGAAAGTTCACATGTATCAGCATAGGATACGTATAGCCAAACACAAACAAAAGCGCCCACTGGAGGAGGCAGCAGCCACGGCGTCCCCAAGCCATCCTCCCTCTCGCCAGGCTGACGTTTGGTATAGAAAATCTGGCGTCATTTGAAAAAATTGGTCGCTGATTACAGATCGTATGTCGTATGGACGTCACGTCCAAAAGCAGGTAAATAAGTACCATTGGACGTAAGTCCGTATAATTAAATAAGTCGGTTTAGGTATATAATATATATATATATATATATATATATATATATATATATATATATATATATATATATATATATATATATATATATATATAATATATATATATATATATATATATATATATATATATATATATATATATATATATATATATATATATATATATATATATATATATATATATATATATATATAAATACAAAATAAAACACTTCGTCTTTATTCAGCACTAGTATTTTGATTTATGATATATATATATATATATATATATATATATATACAGAACCCCGACTTAACCGTCAGGCTTAAACAACCCAGAATTTTTTATTAAAAAAAAAAAAAAAATTTTTAAAATATTTTTTTTCTATACCGAACGTTTCCAGTTAATGTAGTCTCCATGTATAATTAGAAAATTATAGGGGCCCCATGTGCATTCAGCTGACTACATTAAAGGTAAGTGCTCAGTCACACTGTAACTATTCCTTTTATTTATTACTTTCACTGTACTGTATCCATTCCTCATTATTCATTACTTTTACTGTACTGTATTTCATTGTAGATTATTTATTTAAAAAAAAAAAAATTATCTATGTCGGACTTCCGACCTGGTTGGGTCCCTAACCCGTCGTAAAGTCGGGCGGAGTGTGAGTGGGGCGAATCTAAAAATAGCGTCGCGCGGACACTCTCCCGTAATGGGGTTCACGTGCGCAATGTGCAGCACGTGAGGTTCTGGCAAGGCACCGCGTTAACGTGGAAGCAGCGGAATCTGCGACCAGCGTAAAGTGAGGTTAACTGTATATATATATATATATATATATATATATATATATATATATATATATATATATATATATATATATATATATATATATATATATATATATATATATATATATATATATATATATATATATATATATATATATATATATATATATATATACACCTAGACCCCGACTTACGACTATGGACTTCGTCCATT